CCTATCAAGATCATTGTTGTTTTTTTTTAAAAAATCAAATGTTGTTGGATTAATTTTATTTAATATGCCACGAATTTTTGGATAGTTTTTTTTTTTCAAATTTAAATAGAAAAATATGAAAGCATAATAAATTGATTCTAATTAATTTAAATTATTTATGCATATATTACCTCTTTTATAAATAGCAGTGGGGACTCCATCATTTTGACATGGAAATCTTTTTATTCTCTTTGTCTATTGCCTTCTTTTATTCTTTGGCTCTCGAGCTTTATGTCCTGAGAGAATAATTTGATAAAGATTCTTAGCTCGTAAGGCTTAATTAAAAGTGTATTGTTTTAAAGTAGTCTTGTTGGAATCTATAGGAATAGATGATACAATCCTTGATAACCAATTTTCTTTCTTGTTTTGACCTGAAATTCTTTAAGTATTTGTTTTTATACATTGTTCTATATTTTATTTATTTAAGTATATTTATACGTTATATGTTTATAATTATGAAAAAATCTCGACTATGCTAAACAATTCTAACAGGTTTATCATATCCAATGTAAACTAGCTCTTAAGAATACGAGCTTAAGAAGAAGAAGAAAAGCCTAAACCTTTTAAAAAATTGAAAGAAATATTAAAACCAGCTTAATTACTGCACCAAAACATTATACATATTCCTGATTAACAAAGAAATAGACATGCCCATTAAATAAAAATCGTAATTATTAAACAAATAGTTTATTCTTTTTGAATCTTGAGATTGGATAATTGAGCACCCTTTGGCATCCTTAATTTATTAGATTAAGTTTAATTGAGGTGTGAAGTTATATAAATCAAGATATCAAGGTCTTCATGCTAATTGATTGGACTTTCTCTATTAAGTATTTTGGGTATGGCAAATATATACGAAATTACAGGATAGATCACATTTATCAAGTCAATTAATTATCTAACCAAGTAAAGTCTCATGTATTAGCATGTGAAAGTAATTTGAGAATGGAGACGGTACACTGGATGTTGCCAATTTTTTGGCTTGGCTTTGTAGGTGATGCTCGACTCGAGTTCTTATTCTTCGTAAGCAGGGAGAAAAAAAAACATGCATTCCTGATCTTTATTTATCAATAAACTACTAATATTAGTAATTATGCTGTGGGTTTTCATTGAAAATAAATAAATTATACTATAATGCGCCTGTTTGATTTTGTATTTTAAAATCGTTTTAAGAAATGTTGAAAAAATTTTATTTTTTATTTATTTTAAATTAATATATTTTTGATATTTTTAAATTATTTTAATGTATTTATATCAAAAATAAATTTAAAAAAATAAAAAAATTATTAACATATATTTTAATATAAAAAATTATTTAAAAAATAACTACAACCACATTTAATATTTCTCATAAATAAACTATTTTAAAATCACACTTCTCAAAACTAGAATTAAATTTATCCCTTACACACGCGTGCGTACACCGTCAAAGCTTTTAGAGCTGATAAAACACTCAATAAATCAATATTAAAAAAAAAAAAAGCAAAATACATCCTAAGCTCACTTATTACACCTTCATAGGCTTAAGCAGCCGATAAATGAGTTTGTTATTTAAATTATTATTCCAGATTCAAATAATAGAGGTTACCGGGAAAAAAAAAAAAACGTGTATGCATTCTATTAAATGGCTAGTGAAAAACAGCTTAATCTGTTGTGCAAAGGGTCATATAAAAAAAATATATAAAAATTCTCAATTTATACCGACGCAAGCATGATAAATGTTTTCTGAAAATAAAAAAATTGATATATGTGGTCGCTCTTGTGGCAATGAGCCAGTCAAAGAAGTTGGCCGCTGAAAGGAGAAGTCCGAGGGCCGTCCCGGTCAGGAAAGGGTGGGACCCACGCGCCGCAGCAAGGTCTCCCACTTGCACACTCCCCTCTTATTTTTGTGCATATTTTCCTTTTAAAAACAATGTTACTTGTCTGTTTATCAACTTACCCACGCCCGGTCAACTTTCTGCGTTAACCATAGTTAATTAGCTTAGCTAGCTTCACCATCAAAGTCCAAACCCCCATGACCAACATGGCAACATCTGTCAGCTAACCCCACCCACACGCTCTCCTCCATCTAGGGTTCGTTTGCTCAAATGTTTATATCATATACAGCATAAATTATATGTCATTCAAACATTCTTCGTATGTAGCGTGAAGCACACGATCCAATCATCGTGCTTTCTCTCGGAGCATACGCATACCATCTAACTTTTTGTGTATTTTTCTTTTCCCATCCACTTTTATATTATTCTTAACCACAAGAGTTCATTCTCTAGTAAAACTTAAGATTTCATAAATCATATATAAGATCGCAGATTCAACATTTCTCGATACTCTTTAATGGCTACCATGAGGTTAAATGTGTATTTATTTAGCGTATACTTAAAATATACCATAAACAACGAAGATAAGGATTAAGTCATACACATAAAAATAAAAAAATAAAAAAATAGTTAAATTCAAATTAATTCCATAATTATAATAAATAAAAAAACAACTCTATGATGTACAAATAAGATCTTAAAATTTTAAAGGGATCTATAGACTAGCTATTTCTACTAAAGAGCTTAAAGTTTAAACTTTATAAGAAATGAAGTATATTAAATTTGATAAATGAGAATAGATTTCATTTAAAAAACTTAGGTTTTGAGATGGATAACTCATTATTTTTTATTATATTATTTTATTTTCTTGTATTTCTTTTATATGAGATAGTTTCTATAAAATAGATTTAAGAGAAAGTTAGAATAGAGAGAGTTTTGATAGTTAGTGGCTTAATCAAGGGCATCAAAACAATATTTTAATATAAATGGAGAGTAGGATTTTACAAGCAATTAGAGGAGCAAAGATGCAATTAAAATTTTCCAATCGAAAATTAAAAACCCTAAATGATGTCTCGTTTAGATTTAATAAAGACAATGCAAGTAACATGTTGTTTGGTCTACTAGCCTCTGTTTTGATAGTTTTAGTTAATTGAGTTGACAACTTCAAATGAATAAATATGGAGTTACAAACCTTTAAACTTAGCAAGGTTAAATCCAAATGAAAAGTATGTGGTCCCTTTATTAATTTCAAGAGATCTCAAACAACGATAATATTAGAATTGCTTCGACAAGGTCTTGAAAGTGAGCAACTCAATCAGCCCTAATAGTGTAATCATCATGCAAAACCTGATTTTCTTTTCATGTGTTCACACACAAAGGCTCTTCAATGAGTTTTTATCAAGAATTTACAATATTTTTCTCAAGATCAAGAGGTCTAAAATGGATTCAAAGCCTTCCAAAACTCTAGTAAAATCCTATAAATACCCCCTCAAGATAAAAAGGGGGGTTGAAAGAAAAAAGAGGAGAAGGGAAAAAATATTGACATGGAAACTAAATGTGGAGGTTAAAGAGGCTAACACAAACTTTTCTCAAGTTTTTAGGATACAAGACTTTCCAAATAAAAGAAAAGAGAGAGTGAAACAACCATGTTCAGATTAAGCTATTAGAGTGATTAATAAGTCCTTAAACTCTAATAATTGATACTTGAACGGTTAAAATATAAAATTTATGAGTAAATGACTTATAAAATATTAACAATTCATTCTTGTATGTTTTCTTATGACACAAATAAGCAAAAATTAATTATTCAAGGAATTGGTGCAATTCTAATAGGTTCGAGTAAAGAGATATAATTTGGGTTGTTGACATCAAAGCCAAGGCTAATTCTAGGATTATCCAAACAAATCAAGAACTTTGACTATCAATCAGATAAGATAATATAATAGTAGATAAAGAGGTAATTCAAATGCTCATTATTAGTTGATCTTATTGAATTCAATATAGGTAATTTAAGTTTGATATGACAGTGGATTCATTCTTTGTGATAAGAAGAGTGATTTTAATCCATTAACAAATCTACACAAGCCTTACACAATGAGAAAAGACTTTGTTTGATTCTAATAGAACAAGTAATTTTCATTCATTGGTTTGATATAGATATAATGATGGGCATTCATGAAGTGGAAGCAATAGAAATGCTATTATAGTTTTCTAGTCCATTAGGATGGAAAAAGTAAGCTATTGTTCTTATTGCTAAAAGAGCAAGAGAGATTGTCTAAGAAAATCATAAATGCTATTACACAATAGCTTTGATATAATATAAAATTAAGAAAAATAAAAGGAAGAATGAGAATTTGATAGGAAATATTATGTTGTCATTGTGAGTTTTTATTATTGAATTCTACATTACAGTATACAGTATACGCGAGCGCTCTAACTATAATATAAAATATAGATATTTGATATAATTTAGAATCAAAAAAGTATATAACATGAAAAATATTTTTATATAATTTGTTATGTAGTTATGTAATCTTGAGCTTTTCATTAGTTTTGGACTCTAATAATCTAGACCAAAAAAATAAAGGATAATGATCAAATAATGCCATATTTAAAGTAGACAACCTTAAAGGAAAAAAATGAGTAGAAAATTCTTGACTTGATAAAATAGCATGGAGCCATGGACTTCATCAAATAATGCTATATTTTTTTAATATGATACTAAAAAATTCAATTGAAGTTAAAAGAAAGAATCACCTCGATATTTGAAGGAAAAAAACGTATACACATTCTATTTTTAAAAGAGAAAAATGTGTATAAATAGTCTTTTTCATAATAGCTTAGAGAATTTTTTTTTCATATATTTATTGGCATATAAAATATATAGTTGAGAGACATTCATGTCAACCAAAAAAATTACTTTATGGATCTCATCCCACGCTTAGAACGCTATTGCGTTTAATCCCACCCTTTTAGAGGAGAGTGAAACTTGAATCCACCTCCCTGTATACATTTCTGAAAAATAAAAATAAACATAAAAAATTCGTCAACAAACCATTATTCTATGCATATATTTAAACTTTAGGTTGTGAGAGAAATGACTGCGTTTTTAGTCTGTCCCCTCTTTCCTCCATCCTTCTTCCCTTTCCTTTCTCTGCGTTCTCTGTCTCTCTCTCCTTCCCTCTCCCCTCGCTGCTTATTGTTTCCAAAAAATACATTTAACTTCTCTCTATATATTCATATCTTTATCTTCGAGTCCCGGTGCTCCCCTTTCCCTTTCCTTTTCTATTTTCTTTATAATTTCCGCCCTCCTATATCCTGTTTCAATATTAAACAAACCCCAAAACAGTTTTTAATCATCTAAAATATTTATTTTTCTAAAAAAATCATTTCCTGTTTTTTGTTTGCTTTTGATGTTGGCATGGCCGGTTTAGATTTAGGCACTACTTCTCGTTACGTACACCAGCTCCACCACAGACCTGACCTTCACCTCCAGCACCAGCCTGATCCTGAAGACCACGATTCCAATAGGGCTGGAGGCGGTCTTGGAGGTGGCAGTGGTGGTCACTTCTCTACTGACCACCACCACGACGATGGTTCGCACCAAGGTCTTGACCTTGTTGCCGCCGCGGCTAACTCCGGGCAAGGAGACTTAGTTGGCCGTAGGCCTCGAGGCCGTCCACCTGGTTCTAAAAACAAACCGAAGCCTCCTGTTATCATTACTCGCGAGAGTGCCAACACACTGCGTGCCCACATTCTTGAAGTAGGAAATGGGTGCGATGTATTCGAGTGCGTGGCTAACTACGCGCGGAGACGGCAGCGCGGGATTTGCATACTGAGCGGAGCAGGGACAGTAACAAATGTTAGCATCAGGCAACCAGCTGCAGCAGGAGCTATTGTGACTCTCCATGGCAGATTTGAGATCTTATCTCTGTCTGGATCTTTCTTGCCACCTCCAGCTCCACCTGGCGCAACGAGCCTCACAATCTTCCTTGCTGGGGGACAAGGCCAGGTGGTGGGAGGAAGCGTGGTAGGAGAGCTTACCGCAGCAGGGCCGGTTATAGTGATTGCAGCATCCTTCACAAACGTGGCATATGAGAGGCTGCCTTTGGGTGAGGATGACCAATTGCAGATGCAGAGTGGTGGTGGGGGTGGAGGTGGTGCCGGTGGTGGTGGTGTTGGGAATAGTCCTTTTAATGAATCGGGAACGCCTTCTGGGGGGCTGCCGTTCTTTAATTTGCCGCTTAATATGACCGCTAACGTGCAGTTGCCAGTGGATGGATGGGGAGGGAACTCAGGCGGTAGGGTTCCCTTTTGAGAGAAATAATCAAATAGGTTGCTGGTGATTTCGTGATCTGTGATATTATGGAAGCCGAGTGAGGCAGTGTTGGATTGGAGCGGCTTGCTTTGGTTGGCATTAATGGGCTCGTTGAATCATAAAAGGTCAGAAAAATTCATGGATTATCAGTACTCAAGATCACGATCTTGTTACTTCTTCTTCTCCTCCTCCTCCTTGATCTTATGGTGATGTTTCTAGGGTATAACTTCTTTCTTTCTCAGTCATTTCTTCTCCTTTTCTTTTTTTTTTCTTTTAGTTTCTGATGGTTCCTGAAAATAGCCTCCTTTTTCATTATGAAACTATCTTCTTCTTTATGAGAAATGGTTTGAGGATGTATTGACTATCTTAATTGAAAACTCCAACTTACTTAACTTTGGTGATGCTGATATACATCAACTAGGGTTTCTTTCGATTTTTCTCTTTTTATTTCAACTTCCTCTTGGATCTCAACTAGGTTCGTTTTGTTGGTTATATGGTAACATATACAACATGGTGTGCTTTTTTTTTTAACCACTTTGAGGTAAATCTTGGATATTTGGTAACATGGGATTGTGTCTTTTGCATTGTTTTTAGGAGGGAATAAATATGTTAGTATTAAAAATAGAACCAGGATTTTTAATTAAAACATGGATTCCTTTCATTGGATGTCCTTTCGTGGTTAACTACCATGAGCTACATTAATTTTCTAGCTGACTTTCTTGAGCTAGTTAGTTCTCTTGGGAATAAGCTCTATATATAACTAATTTCCTGTAATAAATATAACTTCCCTGTCTTCAAAATCTTTTTGACATAAAGAAAGACATAACAAAAATCCTAGAGCTTGTTTATTAGCAAGTTTCTAGTACTAAAACAATAAGTTTAGAGACAACAGCAGGGATTGGTGATTTATTAATTATTAATCATATTTTATATGTTCTGCTACCAACAAGGGTTTTGTTTTTTAAGATAAAGCAACTCATTGTAGCCCTTCTCCTGCAACTAGATTTACCCTTATATGGCTCGGATTCCCTGCCTAAATATATCTTTTATCAAGCCCATACGGATCTATTGGATGTGTTGGATATACACATACCTGCTGATGCAGTTTATATATATATATATATATATATATATATATATATGTATATGTCTAGTTCATCTCTCTAAATTCAGAAAGATATTTAGATTGCAACAATGATCTTATGGTGAACTGCTCAGATTCTAATGCTCCTTTTATAGACAGCTTTAGACATCCGAGGCACCGCAAGATTTTTGCTTCTATATTGAAGGTTCTCGATCCGTTGTTTTTTATTCCTCACACTTGGTAAACAACATGCAAAGAGCTAGCAATCGGTCAAAAAAACCTTTGTCTCTGCCATTGTAATTAATTTCCATTTTTTGGTCATCTTATCCATGTCTGGTCTATAAGAAAGAACTTCAGTTTTCTTTCCCTAAAAACTAATACAGTTCGTCGAGATATAATTACTTGTGTTACAAAATATGTTGAAGTATCTTGCAGCTCCCCACCCTCATGCTCCTTGTATATCTACATCGAATACCAGGCCACTTCACTTCCAAACTAGTTGCATGTCCCCCATAAATTTGCGTGGTAATGTTTATAATTTCCGAATCTCTTGTTGGGGATTTATTTGTATTTTCTTTTATCTTGGGTTTTTTTTTTTTCTTTTTAGTGATGCAAAACATTTTCTTAGGTATTCGTTGCTTTAATCAGCCATTAAATTGGAAGGCTAAAAATGATAATTTCTTTTATAATGGTATGAAAGTTAGATGCATAATCAAAGTATGAGTACGTATAAAGTTTGGATGTTATATAAAATACAGGTTTACTTAGTTTGGATTAAAAAATTCTAGAAATTAAAAAAATTCAGTCTACTTAGTTTGGATGTTATATAAAATTTTCCTAAATGACGGTATAATTTCCCCCAAGTATAACGGATCTGGCTATGAAATTTATATAGAAGGAAAAGACATCCAAACATACTTCATTATAAAAACCTTTTACTGAATGGCTCATTAGATGCTAAGAATTATATTTATAAGCCCACATGCTTAACAAAAGAAATCAATATAGAATATTAAAATTATAAAAATCATATAACATTAACAATAAAAAATTATTTTTATTTTGTCAAAAGGAAAGTGAATCCTGTACGTATAGACTAGTTATTTCTGCATTGATCAAAATTTTGGATTTTTGAAACATATCTAATCTAATAAAAATGAGTTTTTCCTTTTAAATTTAAATGAACATTTGAAAACTTTTAATTCAAAAATTGATTGCTGAGTTGATTATTGAAAACTCTCAACTCAATATATAGATCTCAGATATATGGATGGGAACATTATCAAAACTCACGAGGAGAAAGGGAGGTAAACAAACTTTATCCTTCTATGTTGGGATGTTAATCGAACAATGCTATGATTTCTATGAAATATCTAGCCATGAAATTTTGATGGAAGAAAATATATATATATATATATATATATATATGTATGTATGTATATTATAAGGTGATAGTGACACTATCCTAAAGAAAACAATGCCTATTTATCTTCTTCTTCTTCTTCTTCTTTTATTTTTTAAATTTTCCTATAATCAACAGGGCTTTTGGTTTTTCTAACATTCGTACTTAGTAAAAACATTTAATTTCTATAATAAACAATATTAATTTATAGATTAGGATTTTGCTCCATTATGAAAATGAATCCACTCAATTATAAAATAGGAACATTCCATTTATATGAATCAATGTATATCTTTAAGGCACATGTTAATCGTAATAAAATAAATTTTCCTTACCAAGTTGCCACATGCCATCAGCTAGTTAATTCAAAGCCAAAATCATCTAATTTACATATTCATGATACATTATAGATCTAATTAAAAAAAATTAACATAACAAAAGACATTTAGAGAATTATTTGCTATTTTTATTAAGATCAATCTTGAAATTTCTCGATAAAATTTCTTACTTAACATGAGTTTCAAATTAATCATATGAAATTTGTTCCTATATAACCTAATTGACTGGTTGTTCCAAAGACAATCTAATTAATCGGTGAAAAAAATCTAAGAATGATATTAAAAAAACATTGATAGGGAAAAAAAAGATTCTTTCAACTTAACCCTTGCTTAGCCTGATTTAAAAATTAAATTAAATGAAAGTTATCATGATGTAATGTAGTCGATATTCTCGATTAAAAGGTAACTCAACCAACTAGTAAAGAAAACAAAATCTGAGAATGAAATTAAAAATAATAAATAATAAATTAATTAAAAAATATATCTTGATCCAACTCATATATTGCCTAATGTGGATTAAAACTAAATTGTGTGGGAGTTTTTTTTTAACATGATCCAATTAATTTAGCCGATTAAAAAATAATTGGGATGAATATTAAAAATAATATGAATATGAAAATAAGGAAAAAAAATGATGAAGTTAAAAAAAAAGTTGAGAAGAGATGGAGAAAAAACCTAAATTGAAAAAAAAAATAGAAAGAGAGATTCACAAGTCTTAGTAGAGAATGATATTGACTATGTTAGTGGATATTAAACAATATATTTAGACTAATTAACTAATTTTCTAACTAGAGATTTTTCTTTCTTTCCTTCTACATAAATTTATATTTGATTGATAATTATTTTCATTTAAAATTTGTATTGGAACTATACACCATACTGTATTAAAATTCTAATTATAGTTAGAAAAGCAAATAAGGATGATAGAGTTTCAATTGAAAACCATTTTGATAATTATTGAATAGGCTATTATACCATATTAGAGAGCTATTTATTTAAAATTTAGATTGTTAAAATTTAGATTGTTGAGTGAGTTAAAAAGATATAATTTCATTACATTCAATATATATTTTTTAGTATTAGAAAAATATATCTCGCATCAAATAATTAAATAAAATAACACTAAAAATATAAAATTGAGGAAGAGTCATATAGTCCAAGACTTGAGTTTTTTTATATAAAAATCATACTTAATTATCAGATTTAATATGATATCATAATCTCAAAGAGATCCAATAGCCTAACAAAGATCTAGAGTGTAAGTTACATGACAATACCAAAACAATGAATTACAAGTGAAGGAGCGAATTGGAGAAACATATCCCAAATGGAATAGTTAAACAAAATAACACTAAAAATATAAAATATCACGACGCCAAATGCATTGCCATTGTAGCCTCTTGAAAAGACAGAAGTTCCCAAATATCATGATTAGTAAATAAAAAGAATAAGATTGACCTTCAACAGTTTCTTCATCAGTTGGGTTAATTTGCTTTAGGAAATTGACTTGAATATTGTGTGTGTGTGTGTGTGAAGACTTTATTCTCCATTGCAAATCTTGATGAAAAGACTTTATTCTCCATTGCAAATCTTGATGCTCGAGCTCCATGACGGATGAACTAGTGCTTGCCATATCCAATGAAACTCGTATTGAACATTGATGAAACGAATTCTCATAGTGCTTATCTGTGGAGAATTAATTCATTAGATTCCTTAATGCACTTTAGTTTAGAATATGCCTCTAACAATCCTTTTAGTGCCTTTCTGGTCACCTCATGTTAGATTTTACGAGGCAATGATGATTGTGAGCGACGAAAGAATTTTTAAATATACAGAGTTATATAATATTAATGACTTGTTTATATATATCTGAGAAGCTGGTACAATTTTAGTGTTGCAAACCACCATATTCTGCTGTTCCGCACATTGTAGAAATTTGTTGGGTGTTTTGATGCTTTCACCTATATTATTTTAAAACAATTGCCCCTTCCCCTTGTTTTCAGTTATAGGTGATAAGATTAATTTATACATGACATTAACATCGTCTTTAATTAATCTGTATTTGGTTGGGTCATCTAGCTGCTACTTAATTTGTCTGTATCCACGCCTTTGGAATCTTTGGACAATCCAAAACCGGTCTTATTTTAGATAATCACGTGCCGACGGAGTCCAAAACAATTATATCGCCAGTTAACCTGAATTACTTCAGCGGTGCCATGAGAAGGCAATATTGTGGGTTTTTTGTTTTTTTCACTCAAAGAACTTGCAAGAAGTAAAAGGCATCGTCTTTTGAAAAACTATTGGGCTGAAGTTTGGAGAACTTGCAAGGTGAATCTCATCAATTCGCATCAAAAATAAAAATAAAATGTTTATAATATTGGTTTCAAAACCCACACATGAAGTGAAGAAGAAGCCTGACTATTTATTACTACAAGTTTTAAGGTTATAACATAATTGATAAGACTTCAAGCATTGACCAATCATTATGGGAAGATGAAGTTACTTTTCTTCCTATTCACACCGGTGAACTAACCAGCTGGGTTTCTTTCTTCTTCTTCTTTTTTTTCATTTTTAACTGCTACCTTTTATTGATGTCGATGATCATGA